GTGTATGTTGGAGTCCACAGAAGCCGGGGGTGGGTGTAATGACTGGGAGCTGGGAGGTGTGAAGCTGAGAGGTGTGAAGTCCTGAGATGAAGGACAGGCAGTCTGTGAAGATGAAGGAGATTGCAGCAGGGGGGACAATGCTGTGGGAGGGGTGGGTGGTATGATACTTCTTTTAGTCTTTGTATAATCACCTGAATACAATAAAAATAATAATCAAAATTACATGTTTGAACAGATTTGGTATTTATAAGAATATGCTATTACAACAACACCTCTGTGACCATGTTTATTTTGTTTTATGTTAAGTGGTAAACTGTACACCTAAGTCAATGACCCACTTCCAAACAGTTGAACCAGTCTGACCACTGTTGACTGCTAAATGCAGTCCTGCACACCTCTGTGTAGCACATGTTATGTATTTATTACATCAGACTTCAAGCTCGTTTCTTTTTTTTTTGAATAATGCAACAACTCTGTGCCCATGCAGGTTCATGGAGCCAATCACAGTCTTGCATTCTGATTCAAAAAGGTTGATTGTTGGTTCTGCTTCAGGCAAGAAAACTGACTTCAGTCTTCTTGTCTGTGCCTGCAGAGCTCATCTTTAAAAACAGCTGCTGTAAGCCTCTACAGTTCCCAGAAAGTGAGACGTGTTTTCTTGTTGATACTTAAAAGAAGCTACACACAGAAAAACGCAGTGTATGCGTTAAATGCAGAGACAGGAGGGAAGCACCACAAGTACAGACTTAGATCTAAAGATCTAAGTTGAAGTAAATCGAATTGATTATCTGAACCCAATCATACTATACATACAATATTATATTTTTAAACCCCTAAACATGTAACCCCCTATAAGCTAGCAGCTGTGATCTTATATTATATCCAGTAAACATGACATTTGTAACACTGCATTATTCTTGTATGGTGTTCGGGTCTGTGAGACCCATTTTCATTTTTTTTTCAAAAGAAAAATTAAACAATTAATTATTTTTTCAACCTGAAATTTATTGGCATTGGCTTATTTTCTGTGAAGAACATAAATCTGAACAAATTTTCAATGACCTCATACTGTACCTCCCCCCACGCATTTACATTACATACAAGGTGTTCGGGTCCACTGGACCCAGGTCTAATAAAAGTGTTGAAAGTGTAGGTCCTGTGTTCCCACACTCTGTCTTCCTCCTTTCTGGTGCTGCTGATAGTGTTTTCTTCCCCTCCTGCTCCCGCACAAAGTTGCAACATTATTGAAAATTCAACTATCAACACCGTCTGCTCTTACATTCCTGCACATTTTACCCTCTTTCTTGAGGGATCCAAATTTTATTTTCTCATACCCTGTCCCACCTGCAAATTAGGGGCATAATACTATAAATAAGACTTCCTTATCACAACTGATCAAGATGAGAGTAGATGAGTACCCCATCAGCAGCCAGCTCCGGAACCAGCTCGTCACCAGCCAGCTCTGGGACCATAACAAGCCCACAACACAGCAAGTAAAGAGAAATGGATGTCCAAAAATGGTGAAATTGAATGGTCTTCTTGCCCAAGAAATGAGCGACCCTGCAGAGCTGTGTTACGGATTCAAATATTGGGGATGGATACAAGAGGAAAACCAAAATAACAACACTGGTCCGGCTGGGTCAAGTCAAACGATGATTTAATGAACACACGCGTGGGAGATGGACACTGTGCGCAGACAGCATCAGATCTCAAAATGGTGAAGCATTGATCAAACTCTTATAGCCTCTAGTGGCCCCCACCTA